GCGGTCCCTGATGCTTTTGCTAAGCTTGTTCTAAGTAGGTGCTTTAGACCACTGAGCCATCTCTCCAGCCCCTATTATAACTTTTATTGCTATTTGAAATGCATTTCTTGTTTTAAAATTTTCTATAAAATAGTTTTCTGTGTTATATCGGCAGTAGCCTCATAAATCTCCTACTTACCATTTTCTTGATCACATTGGGTTAATTACACATCTAGGGTTGCGTAACTGCACTTTGTGATTGCACCACGATGAAATTGCTTAACTGCACATTTCTTAGCAAGCAACACCTAAGTGTATAGAGAAGATACAATGTTTTTACAATTCTGTGCTGTTTGTGTTCCTCAGTATAGCTGCTCAGAGTCTTGGAAAGTATCTCCTACACTCAAGGACTGTTGAAATAAGGAGTCAGCAGTTCTCCTCACTGTTGCTTTTGCTTCATCAGTACAAATGTCCATACAATGAAAATAGCTTTGACATTGCAAATTCTCTGTGAGAGTCTCAGGAAACTACAGGTGTTTCCTTGGATCATACTCTCATCTAGTGTATCCATAATTTTGGAAAGAGTATATATGAATGAAGAATAAATTTAGTTACATATGTCAAATTCATTTCAATGAGAATAAACACAAGGAGTAGAATCAAAATTACTATAAATCAAAATTACTACAAATAGCATTTTTAGTTTTTCTACTCTCCCATTTTTTAATCCATCTTGTTAGTCTTCACTGTTATTTTCTATTGCATCTAATATCAAAAGAGTGTCAGTAGAAGGATCCCCAACTTGTTCCTTTTGTAGTGAGTTCAGTAGAATACAGTCTACATATAAGTTTCACATGATTCCCAGTGATTAACTGTGATGTCTAAGTTTATCCTGCTACTCATTAATGATCAAGACTCAGAGGTCCCATTTATATTTATATTTATTTATTACTCCTGTTATAAGCCACTTACGATATTTGTAATTTCTCAAAAAAATTACATTTTTATTGGTTTTTAGTGTTATTTGTTGTTCCAATTAGCTATTCTGAAGTGATTGTAGTAATTTCCAAAGACTGTCCAAATACTGACATAGCAGTCCTCCATATTGCTGTTAAATCACGTGCTTTTCTCGTAATATACAGATGTACATACGAAAATATTCCTAAAACTTTCATTGTAAGAATTATCAGATTTTAAACCCAGAAAATTCTCATTATGAAAGACTTTATTATATGTAAGAGTGAATTTACGTGTGTCATTATTGTAATTCATAACTATGGTAGTATTTAAGATTTGTTTTTTTCTTCTTTACAGTGTCTTCAACCAATCTTGTTACTCCTCCAGCAGTTGTCACTAGCCAGCCTAAATTGCAAAATCCAACAACCTCATGTTCTCAGACAGCAACACCAGTTCTTCCTGCACCCAATACAGCTACAGTAGTTGCAACTACTCAAGTGGCTACTGGAAATCCTCAGCCTACAATTTCTTTACAGCCTTTGCCAGTGATTTTGCATGTTCCTGTTGCAGTATCCTCTCAGCCTCAGCTCCTACAGAGCCATCCAGGGACTTTAGTAACCAATCAGCCATCTGGCAGTGTTGAATTTATTTCTGTGCAAAGCCCACCTACAGTGAGTGGTCTTACCAAAAATCCAGTATCTTTGTCATCTTTGCCAAATCCTTCTAAACCAAACAATGTTCCTTCTGTGCCCAGTCCTAGTATTCAAAGGAATTCTCCTGCCAGTGCTGCACCATTAGGAACAACACTTGCTGTACAGGCTGTTCCGACAGCACACTCTATTGTACAAGCCACAAGGACTTCTTTACCTGCAGTAGGCCCATCAGGACTCTATAGTCCATCAAATAATCGAGGTCCCATACAGATGAAGATTCCAATATCTGCTTTTAGTACTTCGTCTTCTGTGGAACAAAATAGCACTACTGCCCCAAGAATTGGTAAGTCGTCATATTGGTTTAGTATTAGAAATGGAAGTATGTTAATGACTTATAGATAATTCAACTTTATTTTTTTTTAAGTAGCCAGTATTACTGGAAGATCAGGTAAATGGAATTTCTTTAATATTATTTTTGGTAATTTTCTAGATACCTAAGAGAAATGATGTTTTTAAATTGAAGTTTGAGAGTTTTTTTTTTTTTTTTTTTAAGATGTATTTGTACATGTTCTGTGGTATATTTTGTAATAAAATTGGGAATAAGCACTTTTATCTCTTCAAAGGTTTTTTTTTATAATTTAAAAAATTATTTTTGTTTTATTGGAAATTGAACACAGGGTCCCCAAGACCATTTTTTAGTTTTTAAAATAAATAGAGACAGATACTCTCAAGTTGCCCAGGTTAGTCACAAGCTTGCAGCCCTGCTGCTTAAGCCTCAGCCTCCCAGATCTCTGGCATTATAGACATGTGGTCTCACACGTGACATACAGGTTGATCATACTGATGAATTGGGTATTCTGTATTTTTCTAGTCATTTTGAAATACAGCTTGTTGTATACAGTGTAGTTACTCTTCCATGTGATAGAAAAATTACAATTTCTCCTGTCTTACCTGTATTTGGTACCACTTTTCAGTCTGAAAGGGGGATTATTTTGAATGAGAAATTGCATTTTATTTTATGTTTTAGTTTTTCTCTTAATTTTTGTAAGATTTTAATTTAGGCTTTATAGCAGGATTATGAATTGTATTACATGTTTGCTAGGAATATCTAAGTAAAATAAGTACATTTTAAGTCTCTAATTGTGATAGTATATCCTTATAAGAGAACCAAAAAACGCTTCTTTTCTATCCCAGGAGGGAAGTCTGTTGTGCATTCACTGCTCGTATCTCCCGGGTTTGACCAACTTAAAAATAGATTCTAATCTGATTTACTCCAAAATGTCTGATTACTTCTTGTTTTCTGTCTCCCCATAAGATATATGAATGTTTGTGTTTTTTTTAAAGTAATAAAAAAGGAGAGCTTGATAGTATTTGTATTTAAGATTGCAGAAGTCTGTGTCTTTCTTTTCCCAGAAAGTACGTATTTTGGATGCATTGGTGGGGGCGGGGATAGAAATCGAACTTGAGACCTTGTACTTGCCAGGCAGGTACTGTGCTTCTGGCTATATCCTCGGCCCCTTTATGCATTCCTTTTTTTTTTTTTTTTTGGCGGAACTAGAGATTGAACTCAGGCCCTTGCGCTTGGTAGGGAAGTGCTTATTCCACTGAACCATCTCCCCGACCCCCCTTTATACATCCTTAAATTTACTTCTTTTTTCATTTCTTACTTCATATTTATTTATCCCTCCTATATTTATTTATGTATTTTTTAAATTTTGGGAAGGAGGTTTTTTTTTTTTAGATTATTATTATTATTTCAGGCTGCCTTAAGGGCAGGTCTGGTACAGCTTCCAGAGGTGGGAATTGAACCGCGGTCCTATGCGCCTGCCTGCATTTACCCAAGCAATACTTTATTTATTTATTTATTTTTTATTTTTTATTTTCAGACTAAGCTTTATTTCTTTACATGTAGTTCATGACATATAAGCAGCACTTTAAACAACTGAGCTATCCGGCAAAGCCCCCATCCTTTATTTATTTTTTACTTTTTATTTTATTTTTTTTAAAGAGAGTACAAATTAGAATTAAAACAAAAAAATTACAAGTGATACAGAATTTCACTTAACAGAGTAATATGAATTTCACAGTGTTTGTTGTAATACATAGCGGTGTCTTCCAACCAGTTATTCATATCCTACTACCTTTATAAAGCCAAAGAGGAATGGGTAGTATTGTGTATGTAATGAAATTTCTATGTTTTTTTTCTTATTGATTTAGTAAGTAACCATGAAATACAAGAAGCATTTTAACATACAAAATTAAAATTACCTTTTTTTTTTCCCTCTCTTCTTTTTCTGCCCTTCTGGGTCTGGAATCCAGTGTTTCATGTATACTAGGCAATAAAATTACTTTTCAGGTAGACATAACACAACTGATTTTTTATTTGTCATGTAATTAGTGTGCTTTGTGTTCTTTCATATAAAATAGTAATGACATTTCACAGAATTCTCAAGAAACTAGTGATCAAAATGAATATTAGGCTAAAGCTGAAAATCACCCACATTGAACGAATATGTGGGATAATAGTAAACTGAAATGTATTAAAATGAAACTACTTCTCTTTAAAATAAA